TATATGCACTCTATCAAAATTCGGAAATAATTAATTACTATTAGTAATTCAGTTACAATTAGAGTTACTTTTTTTTAAATAATTTGAACTTAATTTCGTTGTTCTTTACCAGCTACATATAACTGTAGTTCTGTTCTTTTTCTATGTCAAGTTCTGAACTGATGTTCACTGACAATAATATTCAAGTGAGACAGATGTAATTTGTTTCACTCTAACTTATTGCATTAGTTCAGAATCAAAATTAGTTCAAAATTCTTCGAAAAAGAACAGACTTTGGCTAAGTTTTGATATTTATTGCCGGAATTTCCAGTACTGGCAGTGAATATCGGAACGCATAATTTAATTTAGTTACATTTCTTTTAATAATTAGTAACTAATTTGAATTACTTTTACAGTTATTAATTAAAATCTGAAATTGATTAAAATCTGTTGCAACTTCTGCTACTGGTACGCGGATGAAAGCTGCGTTCAGAAAAACAAGCAATATGTTCGAACATAAGTTTCATTACTTCTTTTATTGTCAGTAAAAGAAGTAATGAAATTTATTTTCGAACCTATTGTTTACACTTATTTTTTAAAGCACTGAAAGCTACGTTTTAATCGCTGACATAAGCAATAGGCAAAACAGATAATCACAATACAGAATGTAAAATTTATATTGTTTTATATTTTCTATTGGCAGTTTCTTACATTTTATTATCTTATCATTTTTCTTCATATTTTTGGCTTAACATTTTCTATGTTTTAAATAAAATTGTATAATGTGAAAAAAATTATAACATGTAAATCAATCTTTTTTTTGTTGGTTCTAAAAAACGTTACCTATGTTGTTCTGTAATGATAAAGAAAAGTAATTGAAAAGTAACTCGTTATTCTTACTAAGTAACTTTCCCAAGTAACTTTCCTCCCATCACTCTAAATTTTATAGTATAGAAAAAAAATTTTGCTATAAAACTTTTTTTATTTTTTGTTATTTTGTTTTACGAAGCTACAAAGCTTACAGAGCAGAATTTTGCAATTTCGCTTTTAAAAGTATTATAAATTAAATGATTTGCTTTTTACTCGTTGTGCAGATACATATCTTAATGCTATTTTATTTCTTAGAAATAATATTGCGTCATGAGATCTTTTCAGTTTTTTTTTTATGAAGTCACGTATAGAGCCGGATTTTCTTAAAAATCATAATAAATAAAATTATATGCACTATACTGCAGATCGAATGAGATATTAACCCTAGCTATACACACTGGAGTTCTAGAAATCCCAGTGTAATTTGCGAGATTTTTTTCGTGTTTCTAAACTTTTGTTTTTTTTGGAACCTATATATCTCGAAGCTTCTTAATTCTATCGATTTTTACACTTTTATGGGCATATTTCTTAATCATTCTTAAAAAAAGAAAATTAAATGAAATATTTTCGATTTTTATCGAATTTTACTTAAAGATCGATTTTTACTAAAGATATGATAATAAATATGAATGAGGTGTGTATATCAAAGGTAGAAAAAAAGTATATATAGCTAGGGTTAAAACAAATGTTTATTTTATCCCTTTTTTCAAAAATCTTCTGTATGAGCTTTCAGACGACTTTTGTGATTATGAATATCGCAATTACATTGCGATTTTCTCGGTATTTTAGTTATAATTTCAGCATAAAGAAAGCCTTCTTAATAGTTCTTTTGTCGACCCTTAAAAGTTGCGTACACACTTTGCGCGCGCGCGCGTGTGTATAGATTATTATTAATAATTTTCTAATCATGATGATTTATGTATAATTTAATCAAATGTTAATCAAACATTTTTTCTTAAGAAAGTAAATCTCGATAAAAATTCAATCTTGATTAAAAGAAACTTTTCTAATTAATATAATTTTAATAAAGCGACATTTAGAACATTCTATATACATATACATTTTGACAATTATAATTAAATATTCTAAAGAATGTTAAATAGGAGTTGAAATTGGTGTAATTTCGTTAAGTTTGATTCAATCAAAACTCATCGAAATTATACTAATTAGAATATACTTGACGATATCGCACGCTAAAATAAATATAGTGTCTGTTAATTTTGATTATTTCAATTTTATATCAACATATAAAATATCTTTGTTTCCATAGAAAGAGGGGATTTTTGATTGCTTTTCTCGTCATTATTTCTATTGCACGAGAAATCAAGAATTGAACCATTCGTATTGTTACATTATTCAATATTATCGTCTGATTTTGAGAAATTGAGAAGTTCAATGAATGTTTATACAAATCGTATTGTAGCGAATAATAAATATTTTAGTTGCAAATTGTTTGACAAATTTACAATATTATTTATATTTTTTAAAACAAAAGATATAAAAAATAAAATTATGTTAGCAATTTGTAAGTAAATTTATGTTCGCGAAATTTATTTTCTGTGTATAGAACGTCTTTATAATTTCACTATCGATGTTTTAATATTATCTTTGGTTCGATCTTTCTTTTCATTTTAAAATAATTTATCGATATTTCTGGAAATTTGTATCATAAAAATTATAAATCTGTCAAAGAAAATTTGTTTCTAAAATATTTGCTTGCTAGATCTGAAACTTCCTATGTAAAAATGACTATCTCTCGTAAGCATTTTCAATCAACATTACATGTGATTATTTCAAACTTCGTTTTCTCAAATACGAAGAATAAATATATCCAGATATACAATCACTCACTGAGCGCTCAGTGAGCTCTTGTATCTGTTTGGGCTATATTTTTAAATTTAATGGAATATGGCAATCAGATGCAAAAGCTCACTGAGCACTCCGTGAGCGATTGTGCTTCTGGATGCACTGTATCTCATTAGTTACAGAAGATTAAGATAATATGTAATGTCTATGTGCAGTGAGAAACATTCATGTGCATGCATAATCAGCAGAGATGACAAAATCAAAAGAAGATAATTATCGAATGAATCTGCGACCTTTCCGTACTCGCGGCAGTGGATACGAAGATAATTATATATTACGTAAATCATTGGTTCTCTTTGTCTTTCAAAGTTGTTTTAAAATTTATGTAAATATATGCATGTGCATATGTGTAAAATTTTTATTTGTATATATTTTATTTCTTTTATTTAGTAATTCTAGATCTGAGCAATTATAATAAAAGAATAGATATATTAAATGTAAATTAATTTTTTACATATACGTTTATTTATTCATATATTTTTTACTTTAATTCTTGTATTATTATA